ACCAGAGCAATTAAGAACTCAGAAAGACAACAGCAGTGCAGAATGGGTTTAACACTATCGATCCCTATTTGAAATCTCTGGGTTTACACTGTGAATTGTAGTTGTACAACTAACAGTGCTAACACTGTGCACCCTTGCAAGGATAATGTTTTCAATGGAAATACAGACCGCCCTACCTCCAGCTCCATGTGCTGCTCCTGAAAGGCAAATCTCTTTGGACCATGTTCTTACAGCCACTGGATGTGTCAAAAAGGATTGCTCATTTCCACAGGAAAAAACAGAGCTCCATGAGACAGGATCAAAGGTAAAATCCAGTAGTCATAAAGGATACAAAACCCTTTCTGGATCAGGACAGAAACCAGGCACTAAAGCTTGTAGCTAGGGAGACACTACTTCTGTCTGAGCTCATTGCTTCTTAGTTGCGGATTTCCTTCTGTGGCCTCTGTCACAGGAAAGATGCTGGTGTAGCTGAATCAGTCTTGGCATGCTCTAGCCGTGCCGGTTCAACATTCTGGCATGGCAAAGAGCAGACCGACATACACTTCCATACAAATGGCTTAAAACTTTATTGCTGTTATTCTTAGGAAGTGCCACTGGCTAAGAACAACCTGGTTAATTTGTAGCCTCAATTAGATGCTGGCACTGAGAGCAGGGGGCTGTGGGAATTACCTTCCTCAATTTGAACTCATGGAATATAAATAGGAAAGGGGAACTGATTGATAACATCAGGCATTTCCCAAAGGAAGTAGAGGCCTGAAGAAGACACTGCGAACATGTGGACATTCCTCAATGCCTTGTCTTTGGGGTACTTCCCCCTGGGCCTTGTGAGATATGTTTGAAGTGGGCGACATTCAGAGGCCAGCACCAGTCCCAAGACTTTCAGTTTATTAACCTTGTTCTGAGAGCTGCAGTGGGACACAGTGGTGTGCACCCCCTCTCAGCAAGAGTGACTGGGATTCTGGAAGCTGCCAACTGAGCACTGCCTGGCAGTGTCAGTGTAACTATGACATGCAGTTACCTCCTGGTAATCAGTTGGTTTCTTTTCCATTGACATGTTGATTTTCACACTCATTTATTACTGTCATCTCCCCACTCACTGACCCAGCTGGGCATTTCCGAGAAATTGCAAGAGACCAAATCATGTGTAGAGTTTTGCAAACCTCTGAGGGGAGTGAAATGGAGGAGCCAGGGAGGAGCATTTGGGAGCTATTCATTTTGTTCTCAATTCTGCCTGCTGTTCTTTTCAGAGGGGGAAGAAACATGGGCTGGATAATCATTCCTTATTGATTTAAGAGACTGAGCAGCTGTTTGAACAGATCAGGTACGCAGATGACCAAAGCCAGGTGTGCCATTTAGAATAGGGCTCCTACTCTGACAAAAGATCATCAGTCATTTTCGTTTTGATGAATGGAGTTCATTAAAGTGCCCACTGATCCCCACAACAACCAGAATCCTGCCTCCGTGAGAGGCATAGCTTGGGCAAAAGCTGTTCCACCCAGACCACCTCTCCCTGGCAGGGAGATGAAGATTTGGCATGTCACTCTGCTTCTCTGCAGTATTTGCTAAAGGGCAAAAACTCCAACATCCTCAGGATGACTCAAAGCCACTAAAGCTCACAGCATTTATCCAACAATCCCCAGAAAGTGACCACTGTATCACTCACTTCTGGCCTTGGTCACAGTTGGAGCAAGTCACCCACAGCAAACCCTTGTAGGAAAAGGCAAAGCTTCAGGGAAATGAAGGAGAGTCAAGTGGAGATTACAAAGACACCTCCATGTATGCACTGCCACGTCCTCCTTGTGATCAGTCTATGTTCCCTCTACAGACCAGTTTGCTTAAGGGTCTGTATTGCCAGAGGTTGAGATAGCACCAAATGTACTGTTCAACAACCAAACGACTGACATTTTATATGGACCCCTGCCTTGCAAATATTTTTCACCAGTGTTGACTGTTGGGTTAACTGCTATCAAGATGCTCTAGAACTGCTGTATTCCCAGTGGTTGTTACCACTTTCCTTTCCACCCACTCTCAAAAATCACATGCAAAGTAGCGTTGCGTCTCAAACCCATACGTGAATATTATTTTATTTTCCACTATGTTCATCCAAAATCTAATCCAAGTGCCTTATGGTAGCAAAAATATATTAGGAAGCAGCTTTGAGGTGTGGCAGAAGGGTAAGTCATTGTGCTATGTCACGAGTTCAAGTTTTTTGACAACCAGAGGTCATTTTTAGGGGGAAATGGATTCACAAGAACTGTGCATTAATTCCCAGCCTAACTAGAATACCCATCTATCAGCAGAATCCACCAGATAGTTGAAATTAGTTAGGACGCAGATCCTGCTCACTTAGAAACTTTGCACCAAGTCTCTCAAATGTGGTAGCACAGCAGGCAGTTGTGCAAAGTGATGTCCTCACTGCAGAAAAGCAAAGCAATGAACACACCTGAGACTCTAGCGGGCACTGGGGAGCTGGCCTGACACATCTTTATCTGTGTCTTACTGATAGCCTGAGCTAGTCATTTGGCCTCTCAGAGTCAAGTCCCTCAAGCCATCCCCTTCCCCAGCAACTGTGGTGAATATCAAACTGGTTTGCTTGTCCAGAAGGGTGATGTACTCCAGGGTCTCCAAATGTTGGAAGACCTGGGGTCTGTTCCCTGCCTTCCCCAAAGATATCCATCCAGCAGAATGCACAATGAGAATATTCTCACTTGGGGGTTAAAGTTTTGAGGGCTGGACTTGGAAGCAGCAAGGTGCTCATTTTCCACTGAACAGTATCAAGCAATTTTTTATTGCTGTTAACTTTCGTAGTAATTTCCACCCATGAGACTGTTAAAAATCTCATCAGCAAAAATAAGACACCAAAATGTCCTCAATTTCAGGCCAGTAAAGCTGCATTAAACAAGTGCTACATCTGTCATTTCAAAAGAGATCTCAACTACTTGACCTTGTGGAAAACAAATCTCTTTAGCAAAAACCATGTACCCAGCCTGTGCTGCAGCTTCCCTCTAGTGGTGAAAAGAGCAAGTTAAGGTTTTATTTATTTTTTTAAATAAAGAAACTTCATACAGCACATATTAAGAGTCAGATGCTTTTGATGTGACGTTAGATTCCAAAACCAGTTGCTGGATCTGAACATACAGGGGTATCTGCAAGGCTGGTATCATATTGACCTCAGACCCATTCCAAAGAAGCTAAGACAGTGCAAAATATTTTGGTGTTAGGCTGAGCTACTTTTCACTGAAAACATCATCTTTTTAGTTCTACAAAACCATGATTATTGATATACTTATTATAAAGGCATAAAGAGGGTCTAGTGATTAGGAAAAATATTTTCCTAATCAGGCAAGGCTAGTGTCATGTGGATTCAAGATAAAGAACATTTCCTCAATTAAAGAGATATCACTGTGTGTGCAGTGTCACCTTTCTGGGAAACAGTTTGCTCCATACTTACTCATATTCACTCTTAAGCTGTTTCACTGGTGTCTCCCATTAATATTCAGATTGCATCTTTGCGGTATCATAACTTACTACAAAACTCTCAGACAGTTTATTCACTAGCTCAGTGGGTCTCAATTTTTTTATGCAATTCTTCTGTTGCCAAAAAAAAACGGAAAGACCCCAAACAGATCAGAATGTTTCAAACTCTATGGATTTCTTTTTGAAATCTCTGGGTTTGTCTTGTGATAAACTCACCTAGCCCCTGGTTGGGGATCAGGGCACTAGCTTCTACCAGCTTCTCTCAGCATTACCTTTTCAAAAAGTACCACCACTTATTTTCCCTACAAGTATATAAGCTTCCAGGTTGGAATTGTGTTTTGTTATTTCCCATCCATGTTTTTAAACCTTAGGTCCTTTTGCATTCATTATTTGTCCTTGCTGGTGTTTCCAATAGCTAATTTAGCATTAGCAGCACATGAAAACATGGCACAGACGTACTGTCTCAAATCAATAAGGTTTGATTGGCTGATAAAGCAGAGAAGGTTAAAAAAAAAAAAAATCGGAGAAAAATACAAATTGGAATCTGGCTGGATAAAAGGTTCAGACAGCACTTCCCAAAATGCAAAGGGGAAAAAACAATCTGCATCATCTGCATAGGTGCTCCAAAAAATAGCCGAAGGGAACAGAAAAGCACACCTAGTCAAATGTGTACCTACAGTAAAATACATCCGGGTATAATGGGTGCTTGAAGCATGAGCACAAGAGAATCCCCTCTAGCACAAGACAAGAGAATCCCCTCTACCTCAGATCTATCTCGATTCTCATTAGTCTAACCATGACTTCTGATTATTCAATCATCAAGTAAAGGAAGGTTTCTGCATCCTTGCCATTTAAAGGCACTGTATTTTTCATTCTGTAAATGTTCTGAACGTAGGAAGAAAAAAAAAAATCACAGCTAATAGGTATGAACCCTGCTTTAAGCACATATACCTGCTTGTTATTTTACTTTTTAATGCACGACTTTTAGAGTATCACACAGTCACGACTATGTTGTTTCTAACCAAAATTTCTTCTAATTTGGGAAATGCACTTTCCTTATGGAAGATCATGCCCTAAGGGTGAGTTTAAAAAAATGGTTAGTTTGTCTTACCCAAATAAGAAACAAAGCTTATCAAGTTTGTCACAACAACACCTTTTTATGTTTTTACTATTGCAAATATATACCAGTGGAATTTTATTGACTTCTAACCCAAATCCATCTTTAGGCTGAGGGGAAAAAATGCTAAATTACCAGAAAGAATTTTTTCCCAACCTCAGAAAGTATTAAGGGCTTAAAAATAAGAATTCTGTTATAAAAATACCTCAACTATCACACTGCAAAAATAATAAGCCACAGAGAAGAAAAGTGGAGTGATAAAAAGGTGAAAGAGGCAGTGCAAAAATACGAGAATATTCACACCTATATTGTAGTGCAAGCTCCATTTACTTCAATGAATGCCACTTGGGCTCTGATACCCGGTTCTTCTAAACATCGCTAGACAAACATGTATGCCACAATGAGGATATAAAAACTAGCTTTATTGATTTTATAATATCCACTAACATTTTAAAACTGGCACCATTTAAGTTAGTTGAAATGGATGCAACAGCTCCCAGAGAGTGAAAATGGCAAAAAGTCTCTTTTGCCAAGATTAAAATCAGCTCGCTGGACAGAAGCGGAACAGTAGTTGCATTCTCTCCATCTGAAACTCCAAGCATCAGACTGTACAGAACCAACAGAAGGATGTGAGTGCCCAAGAAGCAGTGTTTACACAACCACATGATAGAGGCTTTGGAGCAGAGGCAGGAAGCCATGAGTAAGTCCATCCACCCATCTGCACAGCCACTGAGGTATGTTATACAAACAGACAGTGGTTTGTTGGGCACCAAAGGAAAGCGAATCATCTTTTCTAGGAATACCTATTCTGGCATGGAGCCACGGGGTGGCACATGTGCCCAACCTAGTCTCCTCGGTGCAGGTACTACTGCTGAAGATTTTCCAGGATCTGGTAGCACCTGGGAGGAGGCAGTTGCCAAGAACAACATTCAAGGCACCAAACCTCAAGTGGAAACTACAGAAGAGTAAGGTGATCTAGAACAAATATGAAATGAAACCCCCCTTTTATTGTAATTGAGGACAAGGCTGCTTCTATCCTTTCCTGCCAGTTCACAAGGGAGAAGAGAGATTTCTCAGGACCGTTGAGTTTTTAAAAGAGTGGACGAGGCTACAAAGCACCGCAGGCAATCCAGAGGTGGTGACCCAGGGTACTTAAGTGACCCTGCACTTTGCTTTGTTTCCACCTGAAAAGAGAATCCAATATCCTTTCCTGCTGGCCCTGTAGCCAGCTCCAACATGATGCCTCCGTTGCCTGTGGCATTATGACCTGAAGACCATATGGGATAGATGCTTCCTCTTAGTACCAGCACGGCACAGTGGGCACTTTGCAATCTAGGGAGGCAAAGAGACAACACGCACATATTATTTGCATTATATTTCCTGTCAAGCTTCTAACTAAAAAGCACTCTGCAAAGAAGGAAGTTTGTAGCAGTCTAAATACAAGTAGCAGCCAGGTCCATAGTTTACCAGCCCTCAGTATAACCTACAGCTTTTTAAAAAAAAATGCAGCTGTACCACACTACTCTTTCTTGGTAACGACCCAAGGAAGAAAATGGAAATTCTCATAACGAAGCAGCAACTAACCTGGCAGCAATGGTCTCAGAATAATTCAACTTTTGCAATCTCAAGAAGGTTAAAGTACAGGAAGGAGGAAATACAAAACATGCAAGTAATATACAAATCTTCACTAGTAAAAACCAAATGCAATCGCAGGTGAATTTCCTGGGCTCTCACTTCCTCTTGTTTGAGGCGAGCAGATCCAGGGAAAGCAGCATACCAGGAAGGAACCCCGTGAGTGAGTGACCTGACACAGGTGGCTGTGGCAGATCCAAGGTGTAACTGTTATGCGAACGAGGCTAAGCCATGGCAGCAAGACCAGTGGGAATGTAACTCACAGCAGGACAGCTAGTGTGCACCTAGCCTATGTACAGGAGGGTCGTTTCTACCAGGAGAAATTACGAGTATGTGTTCGGTTTTTCCCAGAGGAAATGTGCCTGCTCCAGACTATTTTACACCAGTCTTGAGGCATTAAAGAGTACCCAGTAGGCCAAATGTTTAACAAAAACTACTGTGCACACATTTGCATAGTGTGCCACTCTATCAATGGGACCTGAAGGCATTCACCGCATGCTGGAAATTCACAGGATATTTTTTTTGTCAGGTAGTTTTCTCCTGTTGTCATTGGTTTGTCGTTCATGGTGTGAGCTGACAGTTCCACTGGTTAACCATCAACCTCCCTATCTTTAAAGCAACAATCCAGTTATACAAACTGGGAAAGGACTAAGTATTTTCAAAAAACGAGTCATTGTGTTCTCCAAGACCAATTGTTAGTCACTTCCTTACTAAATGCAGTAAAAACAAAGTCTGGTATAAATGAACTCATTAATGAGTAACCTAGTTAAGGCACAGAGATTGATTAGGTCTGGAACAGCCTGCCATCGGAGGTGGTTCAAGCACCTACATTGAATACCTTCAAGAGCAAATTGGATGCTTATCTTGCTGGGATCCTATGACCCCAGCTGACTTCCTGCCTTTTGGGCCGGGGGCTGGACTCCCGGCATTCGACATGGACGAATGCACGGTCACATGGGTGGCAAACTGGCTCCAGGGGCGCACCCAGAGGGTGGTGGTGGACAGGTCGATGTCGACCTGGGAGGGTGTGGGCAGCAGAGTCCCCCAGGGCTTGGTCCTTGGGCCGGTGCTGTTCAACATCTTCATTAGCGACCTGGACGAGGGTGTGGAGAGCACCCTGCTCAAGTTCGCTGATGACACCAAGCTGTGGGGTAAAGTGAATACACTGGCAGGCAGAGACCACATCCAGGCAGACCTGGATAGGTTGGAGAAGTGGGCGGATCTGAACAGGATGCAGTTCAACAAGGACAAGTGCAGGGTGCTGCACCTGGGGAGAGGGAACCAGCATTATGGTTATAGGTTAAGGGCTGCCCCTCTTGGCAGCACAGACGCAGAGAGGGATCTTGGAGTCAGGATTGACTCCAGGATGAATACGAGTCGCCAATGCGACGAAGCAATAGGCGGAGCCAACCACACCCTGTCCTGCATCAACAGGGGCATCACTAACAGGTCCAGAGAGGTCTTGTTCCCTCTCCATGCGGCGCTGGTCAGGCCGCAGCTGGAGTCCTGTGTCCAGTTCTGGGCACCGCACTTCAAGAGAGACGTGGAGAACCTGGAGAGGGTCCAGAGGAGGCCACTCGTATGGTTGAGGGCCTCCGTGGCCAGCCCTATGAGGAGAGGCTGAGGGACCTGAATCTCTTCAGTCTCCGCAAGAGGAGACTGAGGGGGGATCTTGTGGCTGCCTACAACCTTATCAGGGGCCACCAGCAGGGACTCGGGGAAAGTCTGTTCACCAGGGCCCCCCTTGGAGTCACCAGGAACAATGGCCACAAGCTGAGGGAGGATAGGTTTAGGTTAGATATTAGGAAGAACTACTTCACGGTAAGGGTGGCCAGAGCCTGGAATAGGCTTCCCAGAGAGGTGGTGCTCTCACCTTCCCTAGAGATCTTCAAGAGGAGACTGGATAGGCACCTGGCTGGGGTCTTATGACCCCTGCCACCCCAAGTGCTCCTTCCTGCCCATGGCAGGGGGTCAGACTTGATTATCTGTCTAGGTCTCTTCCAACTCATTGATTCTGTGACTCGATGATCTTCCGAGGTCCCTTCCAGCCCTAATGTCTATGAAATCTAGGTCCCTGGTCCAAATCTAGCTCCAGTCACCAGTGATATGTTACCATTACTCTTTGGTTTTGGTTTGCAGGCCAGACAAGCTAAGTGGAGTGCGTATCCGTGTTCATTTTCAGGGAATGAGGAATGTATGCTACAAAATGCAAGTGTGGTAAGGAACAGAGTTAGCAGGGTAACCAATAACTGAGGAGGAGGAGGGTGGAATAACCGAGAGGTGACGTTTCTTGTAAAGATGGGAACATTTGTTTCCTTTCTGGGTACTTTCAAATCCCTGTCTAAGCTAGGCAGTGGGTCTCTCAATCTTCTTGGCTGTTTCTTGAGAGACTGAACGTGGAACAGATCTTTCTTCCTGCTTACTAGAGCAGAAAACCCTCTAATCACCTGACCCTTTTCCAGAATAGCAAAACTGCAAGATACTCAATGACCTACCTATACCTGAATCCTACCATTAAGCAAGCTAGCCTATGTATATTATGCAATTTCCAGGGATTGCCAGACCTAAAGAAGCATGTCTTTACCTAAAAATAACTCCTGTATTTTAAGACTAGAAGAGACCACTGGATCTGAAAAGCTGAAAAAAAACAGAAGTTAGGGTGGATCTTGGGATGGGCCTAAGAACAATGGGTGGATTTCCTGGGAGGTTCCCAAGAGCTTATGAGGAAAGGCTGAAAGATCTAGGTTTATTTAGCTTGGAGAAGAGAAGACTGATTCAAGACTGATTGAATGGTGATTATAGAAAGGATGAACGATAGGCCTCAAGATGCAGCAGGGGAAATTTAGGCTGGAGATGAGGAACTTTCTGACTGCAAATGGTCAGGCATTGCTACAGCCTGCCTAGAGAAGTTGTGGAATCTCCATCCTTGGAAACTTTCAAGAGCAGGCTGGACGGACACTTGGCTGGGATGGTTTAGTCAGGGATAATCCAGCCTTGAAGCAGGTGGTTGGACTAGATGAACTTGCACAGCCCCTTCCAGCCCTATTTTCCTATGATTCCTCTGTGATCGTGTTACCTAGTCAGCTCCAACAGAGTTTAGTAAGACACATGCTAGCAAAGTTCCTACTTCCTTCAAGGAAGCCTGATGAATAAGATGTCCAGGAAAAGGCAGAGATGGATTCCTCTTTCTTGGAGAGCTGCTATTAGGACATCAGCAAAGATAGTTTTTAGAAAAGGCCAACCAACCAAAAATAAAAGTTTAATTTTAGAAGTGCGTGAGCTGCAGAAACGCAGGCATGTCGAGTGACTGCAGAATGGGGAAGTGGGGTAAGAGCGGGAAGCTCCGAGTGGGGAGGAGCCGAGGTTTTATCAATGACTGGAAAACATGAGGATGCAGAGTTACTGTCATAGAGGTAAAGCCCTCCAACCTCAGCACCTGATCTGGGGTAATTCTGCTGAACGGACCATATGGCTCTGCTCTAACATGCACCACTGAATCAGTGTACTCCTCAGGTCTGGCTGTGCAAGGGAGCTGGTTCTACAGGCTCTATCCACAGCAGCAGGTGGCTTTCATGTGTTTTCTTGACTTACTCGATATCATGCTTTTGGGGGAGTGGATACCGGATCTGAAGAGCCTCTGGAATCGGTGTGTCTCCATCTGACTTCTGTACAACTCCACAACTTCCTTGGAATGAGTCTGTCAGCATTATACTGTTCATTGGGGTTGCTAGGTGTCACCGTATTTTGATCAAGGGGTGTCATGAATGGAATCCAAGGATTGGTGGTCCCAATCCAGTTGCAGATCCAACTTTATTGAATGCATAAGCGACACCACTACTCAAGCAAAACCCCACACAGTCTGTAATGGTAGTCTTACACAGGCCTCCTTAATGATGCACGATGACGCAGGTGATCAGGCATTGTCATAGCACCAGGGGATGCAGATTCAACCAGCATGGTCTCCTGTGGCTTGATGACAGCTCTCCAAACCAGAGATGTTTCCTTAGGCTTCTACACCTTTTCAGTCCTCTTCTGTATATTCACACCATAGGTCTTCACCAATTCCCTGTCACTCCCTGCCACCTTCAAGCTGCTGCTTTTCCTATCTTACTTTTTCCCTGCTGAGGTATCCTTGCATTTGTTTTGTAAATGGCACTGGTCTGGGTTCATTTCGCTCTTTTAGTCTATCTTGTTTTCCGACGGTCCACAGCTATCTCCGTTGTTTTGCCTACCACAGTAGCTTACATTAGTTTTGTGCCTTGTTGCCCCGGCGCACGTTCCGCTCATGGCGTTCGTTTACCGAGAAGGAGAGATGACATTGGTCATGCCAAGGCAGCTTTTCGGGCCCACAATAGGAAGAGTGAAATCTGAGTTCAATGTGGGATCTTTTGCACTTAACAAACATATTTTAGTGCCCTCTTCCTGACAGAAGTCGCTTCTCTGGCACATGAAAGAACTGGCATGGATGAAAAGACTAATTAATTGTCTCTTTCTTTTCTGTTGTCTTTGCAGCTGCCCAGCCCAGACTATCTCTGATAAATCACCCTCCTTTCCCCTGCCCTAAATGCCTGGAATCTGAACTTCATTTTTTTGTGGCTGGGGCCAGAGATTCCCCTGGGCAAACTGCTTCTGGCCACTGCCCAGGGTTTCCACCAAAGGAAGTCTAGGATATTGTCAAGGATGCTCTGCAATACTATTTTCATAATTTCATTCAAGGGATAATCAGCTTCAGTCAAGCTGGAGATCTAAGCCAGATAAGCAAAGCAGGTAGAAGCACAAAGTTGCCTCACAACAGACTTTCAATGAAAGAATGAAGTGAAATTCGGCATTAAACATGGTTGAGATGAATAGAAAAGCGTTGTCAAACTGAGCTTGCTACTTGTTGGTGCCTTGGGAGACGGCAAAAGTTGGAAAAGGCTCAGGCGGGTCTTTAAGCTCTTACCCTTTTGTCCAGCCTGTGGCGTAAGTCAGCTTGCAGAGAGGGAAGATGAAGAGAAGGGAAGAGAAGTAGAGTCCTGAAGGGAAGCTGTACCTGCTGCTGCTTGTGGTGTACATATCTGCTGGGAAGCAGGGGATGCTGTCTCAACAACTGGCTATGTGGCTTCTTGTGCAAGCACAAAAATCAGCAGAGGTTAAAAAAAACTAAAAAAATCAAAATAAATAAGCAAAGGTGGCCTTTAAAAGCTGCTCCCAGCATGGTCTGCAGCAAATGCAGGTACATAAAGAGCGTGTAAAAGGCACATCATTCCCAGATCTGCATGCAGAGCACTGGAAACTTCTTGGAAAAAAACAGCGAGGAAGGAGAGAGATTGGCTAAGTGGCAGTAACTCAGTCTCGGAAGTTCATTCATGCTTCCACTGCACTCCCAAAAGACTAAAGGTGAGTGCACCATATTACAGAAGCGACCTAGATATAACTCTTTTCATATTGTATACTTTTATCCACATAAAAACCTGTGCTTCAGTTCCTCATCTGTAAAACCTGTGGGAATACGTAATGTAACAAAAGACTGCCTGTCCATTGCTGCTATTTTACAGTGGGTGGAGTAACTGGCTTTTTTTTTTAACCATTCTTTTCTAGTGGCAGAGGGCAAACTCTCCACCCCAGGCTTCTGTACCTACCCCACTATGGCTCCGTATCATGGGACAATGTATGCCAAGTGTCTGAGCTGGTAGATACTCTTATGTCACTGGTTCCTTTCAACAGCTCTGCTTTATGTGATCCAGCTTTGCTGTTCTGGTTGCAGCAGAAGGAGGAAATCTTGCTCTGGGTTTTTCTGGGCATCTCCCTCTTGGAAGCAGCTGTATGCAATTACATATTAAAGAGTACATTTTCAATGCAATACAGAACATTACACATACATCAAACTCTTTGAGGAATTGACCACCTGGTATTCCCAGCCTGCCAGAAAAAAAATTACTTCCCCTTTCCAGTTTTTTTAAGTCACGTCCCTCCATAACATGTTTTTGACATTCATATTCACCAAATCATCATCTGCATTAGAATTTTCCAATGGACATAGCTCCCTTTGGGGTAAACTTTACCGAGATAACAGGACTTGACCAGCTTCTGGCCCCTCTCACCCACCTTAAGCTTCCCAAAAAGTTAAGGTGTATAGCAGACATCTGTCTTGTTATCTCGGGTCCCCCCCAACAGGCTGTCTGCAGCCACCTGCTGCCTCTTGTTTGATGCTTTGATTGTACACTGTTTTATTCTGCATCTGCGCCACACGTAGCAAGCACAGTGAGATCCTGGCCCATCGCTGGGGGCTGCTAGGCACTATTGCAGTACAGATAAATACAAATTTCTAAAACCCCAGAAAAACAGTCCTTCCCAACCTGGGGGGCAGCTGGCTGCTTCCATCTCAGTTCCACCGTTTTCTGCTTTGGCACTCGCGCTCGCCAAGTCCAGAGGGCTCCTTGCCCCTTGCTGCTGCAGTTTCTTCTCTCCTTCACCACAGCTTGTTCCAGTCAGATCTCTACACAACTGCCTGAATTGCTCTTTGTGATGGGGCCGTATAAATATGTGGAACCCTGCCCAAGAAAAAGCCAAGCATGCATGGAATGAACTGGCTTACTGTGGCACAGTCACTACTCTGCAAAAAGAGTCACCTGTTCTGCCCCCCCAGAGCACCCCAAAGGTTTGGGGAATAGCTGAGGATTTCTCAGAGACAGTGATACTCAAGACTTTTTTCCTTGACTGAAGCCGAGGATCTGTTTTGACAGAAGACCTCAGCATGCCTAAAATGTACGTTTTCATCACCTCCAAGTGACCCTAGATCCATCTCACCTTTCATGGGGCACTGCTACAATGATGCCAAGCAGGTCTAGTGCCCTAAAAAGGCTGTCTAAAAAGAAAAACCTCTTGGTATCATTTGTCATTTGGAGAAAAAATTATCAGTTTCTAGTTTCTAAAGGGTTATTCTGAGTAAGGATTAAGAAGGAAAAATTAAATCATGATAAAATGTCTTAAATGCACCCATATAAAGGCCTGTAAACAATGAGGGAGACTGTCTGTCCCTAGAAGTAGAAACTATTCTAAGGACTTAGCACCAGGTACAGGCAATCAGTAGCCGTGGGAAGAAGTTTGAGAGTGTACCTAATATCCCTCACTGCCTGTTCTAAAGAGCAAACAGGACAAAAGTTACACAACACAATCGTATGAATAAAATAAGCACACCTGAAGGGTGAGAGGTGCACAGCTGTGAGGATGCTACCCATTCTAGGTGTTTTCATGGACAAATGCTAATCAGGACAAATGGAAACAACATCTAACTTTGAAATCACCTGGATTTGCTAAGGATTTTATGCACTGGGCTCCATTTGTCTGGTGTACTGAACACTGAGACTAGAGATGCAATGAGTTATGCCAGTGCTAAGTTCATACGAAAGAATCTGTGAACCAATGACAGCTTGCCTTGTATATCTGATATACAGGAGGAATTGGCATCCTCGTCCCCCTTCTAAATCAAACAAAAATGTACATCAAATACTTGCTTTGCAAGAGGTGGAAGAGCTCTGGCTTTTCAGTGGTGACGGCAGCTATCACTGCCACCATGGCATCGTAGTTGTCCGTCTTTTTGTACGTGCACAATGCGTCAAGGAAGCTGCTGTAATTGTTTCTGTCCAAAGACTTTTTCACATCACTGAGGTACGTGGCTTTGAGAAGCTGGTGGCGGTTCTCCTGCAGAGAGCCTGACTCCTTTCCAGCCACCTCACTTTGGGCACGGGTGTGATTTTCTCCTGAGAGACAGAGAACATCTGTGAACAGGACTTTGGGAAGAACACATTAGAGTCTATAAGGGCGACTAAGAGGTTGGCCCTTCAGACCCATTCTCCTTATTTTAGACATTTGGTAAACTAGAAATGTACCAGATGGTCACTAAGAAATCAGAAAAGGCTACAACCGGTAAAACGAGCAAAGGTCATTGCTAGAACAAAGTTTGGCGCTATCTGAAAAGGGACCAAGTAGCAGCACTACCAAAAGCTGTGCTAACTAACTGCTGCTGGCTTGCCAAAGAAGCACATAGAGAAAGCCCAGTTTTAAAAAGTGAGGGTTTACCACGATTCCAGAAATAAAGTGAGGACAAGTTAATGTTTGCAGGTAGGAAAGCATAACATCCAAAGGGAATAATCACACATCAGATGCAACAGAGAGCACAAAAGTTGATTAAGGTCAAAGTAGCTAGCAGCATTTTTCACATGACAACATTAAGTCCATTTTGCATTCTGGTGCAGTCCAGAGGGGTGCTTTCTGATAACTGGCCACTGACTTCTAAAGGGAATTGTCTCCGAAAAGGAAAGGACCCAAGTTAGTTCCCCTAGGAATATCAGAGCTGTTGGCATGTGGAATCCAGGTGAGAGTTTTGTAACCAGTGATTTTTACTGCACTATGCATCACAGGATCAACTGGCACCCTCAGAGGAAGCATTCTCCTTCAGGAGCATCCTACAGACATCATTTCTACTTTTGTCTATTTTTTCTAAGTCCTTGAAGACAAATTTGCATAGAAGTTAAATCCCAAGACATTAATGTTTCTGCTGTTCTCCTCTGGTTTCCATTTGTAATGCAACCGAGACATCTCACACTCCCACAGTATCCCATGGCACAGACAAATGGACACCGAGAGCAGTTTCAAAAGGGCAAAGGAATGGCAGCTTCATGCCACGCTGCAGCCATTATCATGCAACAACCTGTGCACGAGCCTGTAATGATACCAGTGTAAACAAACCACTCCAGCTTGAACCCTGCTTCATCCAGGTTTAGGCTGCTATTCATCTCACTTGGATCACTACAGGCTCATGCACACATAGCAGGCAGAGCGTAACAGATGCTGCATGTTCTAGGAACTCTGAACTCAGGTCAGGATTAAGCATCAGGAGATAATGCTCTAATAAAAAAAGCCCCAAATAAAACAAGGGAGAGAGAAAGTAAACCAAGAAAAACAGCTTCACTCAGAAATGAGAAACTTTCAAAGCTTCCTGTTAAAAGTCACCTGCTCTTTGCGAGGAGACAGCAGTCCTCTTTACTGTAGAATTCTGCAGAAAATTAAATCTGAATTCCTTACAGGAACGGCCAGAGTTAGAGGCAGTTCAAAAAAAGAAGCAATTGCTCTGAATGAACTAAGGTTACAGATCATGAAGCTATTAATTTCTTGATGACAGAGGCAAGAAAATCCTAGCAGTTCTCAGGAATAGCAATTTAGTTATGCCTAAACTGAATCACTGGCTTTTACAAGTAAATACTGAAGAAAATTAGATCAGACACATACGTGTTTTGTTTGCATATATTACTGAAGATACTTTTCCTGATTTGTGTTCCTGAGAAAGGAGCATCTCCATTTTTGCTAGACGCAAGCTACTAACAAAATATGAAGTCTTCTCATCACCTCCTTCACTGGATCAACACTGGCTTCATTTCCCTCACCATCCTTAAACTGTTCCCCTTCTGGAAACCCTAGAAAAACAGACAGGCCCTGCTTTCTGGCCGAACATGCTGGAATAAAACCACTGATCATCATTTCCCCAGCTGGAGGGCATCAGGTTGAAAACCTAGCTCAATCTTCCAGCTTGTGGTGATTACACTAGTATATGTGAATGCCTGGGTTTAAATCGTGAGCTTCTATGTTTCATTTCATGTGGTATTTTCAAACTTGTGGGCTCTGGAACTAGCTGTCTTGTTATAGTGCTTAGCAGCTCTGGTCACAGACCAGGGGACCCCACTGTGCTAGGTGCTGTACAAACACTGGCAAAGGCAGCTCCTGCCCCCCTAGAAGCTGATATTCAGACAAGAGACTACACGTAGACAGAGACTAGCCAGGGAGCACGGCTGAATAACAAGACAGCAAACCTGCAATTGCTCGGGAAAGTGTATTTGTGCTGTTCAGCCCAGAAGTCAAGTGGGATCCTCCTTTGTTCAAGTGCAGCTCAGAGTTGAGCTGGCTGGATGAACCCTCTGAGCATGTTGTTTTCTCCTGGCACTGTTTTCCCTCTGTAAAATCAAATGAGTCAGTGAACAATGGTGGGGTAGAATTTAGCAGACAGACTGCAAGTTGCTCACGCAGCTGGAAGAAATCTGGGATCTCCAAGTATTTCACCTCTCACACTGGAAGGTATTGCCCAGATGACCTGGAGGTACAGGTGTGCTTTTCTGGTGAAGAAAGGATTACTAATGCCATTCCCATCTTCCTACAGTCATACATGCTTACTGGGTTTCCAGATGACATGAGTATACTTCCGCTTATCACACTGATAACTCAAAAGTACTGGGCTAACGCAAGGCAAGCAGGAGTAAAAAGGATCTACGAGCTAGATCAATGATTTGTCATCACCCCTGCCCAGCTGTGCAGCATTCAATGCTTAGGGATCAATCTGCGGGAATGAGAAAGCAGGGTGGCACGTAAGCAGACTATATGCTTTTAAAAATAAGGATGCAGAGGGAAAACCCAGGTGCTCTCTAACCCACAAAAGCAACATGACATCACATCAGGGAGAACTGATACTCCTGTTGGTCAACACACAATAGGTACTCAACCAAAGAGCTATTATTAATAAGTTAGCGGGACTAATTCCAAATGGCTTAGGGTCTGATTATCAGAACTGCTTGGCTCTTGAAGTTTCTACTCCCTCGGTGCTGGGATCCAACACCTCCGAGGAAAAATTACTCCATTAGGATTGTTTATCCATTTTAGGCCTAAAATGGCCCACTAGGAAGGGATATGACTTTTCTTTAACTTCAAATGGAAGATATACTTCAGCCTCTGAAGACTGAAAGCATAACACGCCCTCTCAGCATTGTATAAGCTATACTGGATACTTTACTTCATCTAAAATAAAAGGTACTATGCACAGGCATTGCCATATGTAGCTGCATTTGTACTGGGGAAGAACAAATCTTCTCGACCAACCTGTCCACAACCACTGGATTTTAACATCCACACTTCCTAGCTGTCATTTCAGCCAGCAGCATTACATAATAACACGCTCCTCAGATTCCACCGTTTGGATCTTTAGAAGGGACGGCGGTGCTGTTTTGTTGATTTGTTAGCAATGGCCCCTTACAAAAGCTGATGGAACAAACTATCAAAGCGATCAGTTGTGTGGCAACCGCTGGACCCATCTCCTCACCTGCTTCCTTGGCCATCATCTCTCTCTCCCCTCGCTGGAGGCTGTGCTCGGGTTTGTAGCCACAACCTTCTCCAGTCAGGCTACGGCAGGCTTCGTCAAACTGCTTTTTGTGATGAGGTCGGACAAACTGGTAAAATTCTTGCATTTAAAAAAAGGGCAGGTCAGTTCAGACGTGCAGTTTATACATCCCAATATTTACTACATTCCAGAGGCCAGTGCTGAGCAGACTTCCATGTCAGAAAAGAGGTAAAGCTTTCAAAAATGCCCAAGTGACCGTGGAGCCTACGTTCCATTTTCAAAACCAGCTCAGGTGGGTGGTACCCAAGTCCCAGTGAAACTCGAGAAGACTCCAGAGAACAATTTTACAAGGTATCTCAAGTCTGTTTCCTATCATCACAAACATTAACAACCAAGGAAATCACCATGTAAGTCAGTCAGGAAGATGCACATCAGCTCCACACACATTCTGGATCCACCGGTATCCTCACCCAGCTGCCACAACCCCAGTGTCTACGCTTTCAGTTCTAAGACAGAACCACCCCAGAGGTGTACATTGATCTCCTTGCAGTTACACACCAGCCTAACTCCAACCCCAAAAGGACTCGGTGACATTTCTCACGTGCATTGCTCCATACATTCGTTAGCTATATGATCAAAGCACGAGTTCTCTAAAAATGTTAATCATTTAATTTGGTGCATCCAGGTCACTGAGCACTTGCTTTTGCAATGCAATAGTCCTTTCTAACGGACAACAGCTATGTCCCACAGGATGCATTTAGAGCAGTGGTCTCCAAAGTGGGGTGTGTGAACCCCAGGGGGTGTGCAAGACAATCCATTGGGGTGCGGGAAGAAAATATTAGAACTTCTATTTATATTTATATAAATATACATATATTGGGGGTGCGTGCTCAACATTTTTTCACTGATAGGGGTGCGCGAATATAAATATACATATATTGGGGGTGCATGCTCTAAAATTTTTTACTGATACTGCGATCAAAAAAGTTTGGAGACCACTGATTTAGAGAACCATCATACCTCGCAACAGGATATGCTTTCTCTGGTCTTCCAAAAAGACACCACTCATCTGAGATAACATGGCGCTGAAGTCATCAGTCATTTTATACTGCTTCAAAGCCTCTGAGAAGACATCATAGTTTAGCTGGCTTAGTGATTCCTTCACTGTTGCAATGAACGATGTAGCTCTGATCTTCTTTGGCTCAGTTGGATCTGTCATCTTTCCAGCTTGCTGGAAAGAAACCAACATTGATCAGTAAATGGGAGACATTTGGAGAGATGTTCTTACGTTAATTAAGATGGGATTACTTTCTCCCTCACCTTCCTGTCACAAAACAAACTTTATTTCACCTTGCACAGCTGTAACATGTCCACAACACACAACGATGTGATGGACTAAATGACCCAAGAACCTTTACAACCATAAGTTTCCATGATTCAATGAACATGAGCTAATTGCATACCATGAAACACAATGATGTATACTATTTTAAGCAATCGTGGTCAACCAGAAAGGCATGTCGCCCTTGCATTACTTTCTGGAAAGGCAAGCAGATGTGCCTGCCTGATGGAAATTCAAAATTCTGTGAAAGACCAAAATGACTTGTGCATAGGTTCTGCCAAATGGCTATCAACTGAAAAAAAACAGACATGACTTGTGGGAAAACCAGAAAAGAGGATTAACTCTGGCTTTAAATTTTTTTTTTCCCTTCAATCACAAAAAAACCCTCAGCCATTTGAAAAAAAGTCCAAATGATCTATTATAGAATTAGCTGCTTTCACAAGGGGTTGTGATAATTGGTTCTGAATCACCATTTGCTCACACAGTCTAAACTAAATGCCTCTACTGTCTTTAATATACTCCTACTAAACATGCCTTTCCCTATGTATATTGTAATCTATCCTTAGGGCAAGAAGCAGTGATCTGGGGAATTCCAACACCACCCCTATGTATATGATTTCCCAGACTATTATTACATACAGCCCTAAAACACTCAGTTTGTATCATCAACAAGGATCCTTTACAAGTTTAGAAGTACAACTGTTCCATCAAGAAAGAGGGTGGGGAGGGGCTGTCTACTCCACACTGCTTTACAGAAAGGCTAAGTGATTAGTTTCCCAAGAAGGGCAGCCAGGTGCCATTTCACAACTACATGCTAAGGAGGCTTCTTAACAGATGAATCTTGCATCACACCTCGAGGGCTACAAGGCTGAATCATTCTGATACCGCATAGTAGTAAAATTTACCGGGGAGGGCTCCGTGCCGAGAACACGGTTGCTATTAGACGCAGCATCTCTGAACACAGCTGCCACCTGACAGTACAGCTGCTATTCCATGTAAGGCTTTGAAGACAAGGACTTTAAACAGCTCTTGTAGCACATGCAGCCATCACATGGGTTAGTCAGACCACACAGGCAGACCGACACCTGCACAATGACCCAGCTGTAGTTCCTAAGTCACCATCAGAGTCAGCCTGGGGTCTGCTGTAACAGCTCAGCCCAGAGGTGACATGGGCATGGCTCACTGTGGCCCACATCTGTGATGTTAAGATGGAGTCTCCTGGCACTAAGCTGGTCAGAGCTGCTACATGAGCCTCCGTACCACCTTGGCACGGGGAGGGAAGTTTACCAACACAGTAGGCAGTTGCAAATGTGGGAAGGACTTCCAAATACTCTGCTCTGTGTATTGGCCCTACCCAAGCCTGTTCTTGGTTGAACCAGTACTATACATGTTGGAGTTACATTAGGTGGAGAGGAGTCAGCCAGGTGCTGAGGCCTCAGCTTCCCAGCCTGAATGCAACTGCCCCAGGCACCTTCACCTG